CACACACACACACACACACACACACACACACACACACACACACACACACACACACACACACACGCACGCACGCACACACATATATATATATATATATATATATATATATATATATATATAAAATTACGATATTCTTAATATTCTCTCTTAGCAACACCAGCATCTTTACTCATCACAGGTTTATCCATAAATAACTAGTCTTGTGGAAGTATCTCTCTATACTAATCTTCAACTATGTGAAGTCTTCTCTATATTATTATTAACCTTTAGACTGCTGAGAAAGTCACTTTTGTGGTTCTTGAGTTTGCGTTAAAATACTATTATTTTTAATAGTATTTCAAATACTAAATGTATTAAATATATATGTGTGTATGTAGCCTACGCAATGCGTGTCTCTTCGGTGCCCGCTTTGCGCTTGTTCGCACTTATGTCGCCGAAACATATGCAATAATTGTAATGCTGCATAACAACCTGTTTTGAAAATTATCATTTGAAAAAAAATTTTATCATATAATTTTATCATAAAATTTTATCATAATTACGGAAAAAAGTTAACAAAAAAAACATAAAAAATTTATAAAACAAGTAAAGAATAAAAAAATTCAAAAATTAAACATTAAAAAACCAAACAAAAAAAACTGCATGAATCTATATATTTACTATATGTTTATATTATTTATATTGTCAATATTGCGCTTAGGACTTGAAATTTCATAAATCTATGCTCAGAATTAGAATCAGCGATACCAAAAACCCCCAAAATACACTATTTTTAAGAAAATAAAAATTTTTTATATTTAATCGTACGTTCCCTGTCGGGAAAGCCACTTTTGTGGCTCTGTACAAATCTTAAAATTCTGCACCATGTGTGTTACTTGTATAGAACAATTTTTTAGAAAAAAAACCACTTTTTTAATGAAAAATGCCGGCAGTCTAAAGGTTAACGATATCAATGAGACATATGTTACGAAGAATACAACATGCTATGATAACGTGTGGAATTATATCATCCCGATTCATGTCAAGGAACTTTAGTCTCCTTAAATCTTCCTTTAAGCAGAAAAAATGCTCTCTCAATAACTTGCCTTGTTTTAGCATGAATATCGTTGAAGTTCTTTTGAATCTAAAAGAGAAATAAAAGATACACTTAACTTAAAAATATATATTGTAGCATATTATATAATTACATGAGTTAAATTTCCAAGGTTACGATACGAAGGAATACACCATGTAAGCACAGAGTAAGCTTTGTTCCCAATTATGAACTCTTTTGCTGGAAAATAGTGATGGTAATTATTGTGAATTTCTTTCCACCAGTCACTATTTCTAAAGATTCGAATGTCATTGACAAATGAAGCGATATCTTGCGAAGTCTGTAAAATGTAACTCTGTATCCATACTGCTTGGAAAGTTATTGAAAAATGGTTCTTCTTATTTATATAATATTGAGCGTTATTCTAAAAATAAAGTACAAGTTACAATATAGAATCATAAATTAAAATATATTATAGAGATTGTTCACAAACCTTTGGAGCCTTTATGTCAATATATGATCCATTTATTATTACAAATACATTAAGTAACCCAGCAATCTGCTGAAAGGCTTCTTTCACATGAGTTCTTCTTTCAGGCCATCAATTACATTACTAGCTATATTATTTAAAGCTCTTACAAATCTCATAAAACTGACACTTAAAGAACTTTTAGCAATATCAAATCGTTCTCCCATCGATCTGCCAAACAAAAAATAATAAAATATAAACCTAACTATAAGTAGTGTAGACGATTTATATTTTAGTTTATTTAAAAAATTTATTTTACCTATAAAAATCTGGGGTTGCAAATACAACCACAGAACAACCAAAAGTTGTTTACGAACTGAAATCATTAACCTGCCATCATTGTTTTAATTTGACAAAACTTTTGCAAGTCTTTGCTCAAGCAATTCATATGTTTCTGGCATCCGAAAATGTTCCCGAATTGATTGCTTGATCAACGTGTGGTCTGTTCTTTTCAGCTGCACTTCAGCTGAACTGGTGCAATAAGTTAAAGTGAGATAAATATATTTTTTCTCACTCTAACTTATTGCATCAGTTTAGCAGTGCAGCTGAAAAGAACAGACCACTGGAATTATTTCTTTCACATAACTTTCTACCCTTTGAGGTTTTATTTGGTAACCACGTATATTTATCCGTCTTCTCAATTCCAACTGAATTTTTTCGTCATTATTACTGTCACTGTCATCGCTATTACTTTCTATATCCAACTATATGATTATAAATATATCTGAATTTGCAGCAATGATATATTTGCAAGAATACATTTGCGACGTTGATTTCGTTCTGCCATTTTTCAACAAAACCACTATATATCATTCACAAATGTATCGAGAAAGCACTTTATCCCCACCATATCATTCGAACTTCCAAGGCTCAATTCTCGATAGTGTCGAATAAGATGCGCATGTGAAAATCTTGTAGTTCACGTTATGTATACCATAGATTTTCGCATGCGTATCTCATTCGACATTGTTGAGAATTAGGCTCCCGGCACTCATTCGCTTATATATATAAATAAAAATAAAAAGATCTTACAAAGTAAAAGTACGCCAAGTACATAAAAACGAGTAAATTGTACCTAACAAAAACTCTCCATAAAAATCCCAACAAAAATCCCAATTAAAAACCTCTGTAAATGGTTGTGTAAAAAAGTAACTTAACAAAACATTTAATCCAAACAATTATAAAAAATAAAATTCGATTAAAACATATGAAATTAGTAAAATGATCTAAATACATGATTCATTATTATCAAATTACAATAGATTATAACTAATGATCTATTACCAGGTCTGTAAATATGAAACCAGAATTTGCCCATAGATGGCCCTAGCTGTCAATGTAGTTACCGTCAAACCGTGTTATTGGCGCCATTTCCTTATTGACATCTCTGACAAAGATTTTCAACTTACAACAATACAAGTTTCATACAACAGCATAGTTTGTAATAGCGTTGAACATGTCGAATTTTGTGCCTGGAAACTACGGATAGCATTGATTTTCTGTTACCATTTGAAGAAAACTGCTACAGAATCGCATTGAATGCTTGTCGAAGCTTACGGTGAACATGCTCTTGGTAAATCACAGTGCTTTGAGTGGTTTAAAAAATTCAAAAGTGGCGATTTTGACGTGAGAAACGAAGAACGTGAAAGACCACCGAAAAAGTTTGAAGACAGCGAATTGCAAGCATTGTTGGATGAGGATGACACTCAAACGCAACAAAAATCGCGGATCAATTAAATGTGACACGAGAAGCCGTCTCCACGTTTGAAAGCCATGGGAAAGATCCAGAAGATGGGAAAATGTGTTCCACATGAAATGAATGAAAGACAGCAGGAAAACCGAAAAACCATTTGCAAAATGCTGCTCGCCAGGTAAAAGAAAGTCATTTCTCCATCGAATTGTGACTGGCGATGAAAAGTGGATATATTTTGAGAATCCTAAGCGTAAAAGATCATGGGTAACTCCAGGCGAACCATTGACATCGACTGCAAAGCCAAATCGCTATGGACGGAAGACAATGCTCTATGTTTTGTGGGATCAGAAGGGTGTGATCTATTATGAACTGCTAAAACCTGGTCAAACCGTTAATACTGAACGCTATCGACAACAAATGATCGATTTGAATCAAGCTTTGCGTGAAAAACGACCAGAATATAAAAAAAGGCAACACAAAGTGATTTTGCTTCATGATAATGCACCATCACACACAGCAAAACTGGTTAAGGAAACGATTGAGGCGTTTAGTTGGGAAATACTTTCGCATGCGGCTTACTCACCAAACTTGGCTCCGTCCGATTACTATTTATTTGCATCGATGGGACACGCACTTGCTAAGCAACGCTTCACTTCTTACGAAAATGTACGAAAATGGCTCGACGACTGGTTTGCTTCAAAAGAGCAACAGTTTTTTTGGCGTGGCATCCACAAATTGTCAGACAGGTGGGAAAAATGTATAGCTAGCGATGGGCAATACTTCGAATAAAATATTTTTTATCATTTTCATACAAAAAACGTGTATTTTCTATACAAAAATTCCGGTTTCATATTTACATACCTGGTATATTACTAAGTTACAATAGATATAACTGATATAAAAGACCAATGTATAAAAATAAAACTCAAATAACAAACTCAAATAACATAATAAATAACTTAAAAAAAAAATTTTTATACATAGTAACCAAAGTAAAGTACAAAAACTTGGCTTGTCTGGATCGTATTAAAACAAGCACACATTTGGCCTTCCTCCGCCTCCTTCTTACACAAATCACACATTTTAAATTTATACAGTGAAGACTATATTCCAAATACGCGACCCGGGTACGCCAAGTTTTTGTATTTTGGTTATTATGTATAAAAATATTTTTTTTTTAAGTTTTTTGTTATGAGTTTGATTTTTATATATTGGTCTTTTATATCAGTTATATCTATTCTAACTTGGTAATATAATGGCTTATTAGTTATAATCTATTGTAATTTGATAATAATGAATCATGTACTTAGATTATTTTACTAATTTCATATATTTTAATTAAGTTTTATTTTTTATAATTTTTTTGATAAAAATGTTTTGTTAGGTTGCTTTTTTACACAACTATTTATAGAGGTTTTCCTGAAAAACCAAATATTTTCCTAATCCTGAAACCTGTAATAAGTACGGCAAACTCAGATATCTGACTGATATATTACGTAGCATCGTAAAATAATCCCTGAAATAATGCTACATTTTTCGGCTGCCACGGTGGTTGTGATAGTTGAGACATCAGCATGTATGAACACATTAAATTTTTTGATTTTCACAATGTATCACCAATATCACAGAGTTTGTTGCACATTTTACATAGGTTGTGAGAATTACGATAATATACACACTTCAGAAACTGAAAAATAACGCGATAAAACACAAGAAATTTCCGAGATGTCAAGCGAGACCTAGCGTGAGCCTGGAATGCTGATTTCTGATTCGATGCATCGAGAATCGATTCTTTTTTGACGATCGATTATTTTCTGCGATTCTTTGGATGGTTGATTAATCGAGAATCAATTTTTTTCTGTACTGAATTGAGAATCGATTGTTTATAGAGCCCTCTCGGACGTAGTGTCAGGATCACAGACTTCTATATACTACTAGACTGCTAATTCCCTTATATAGTGCTTTACAAAATTGACCCTGAAAAGTATGTATTAAGCGGGGAGCACACACTCTTACACAGAGTATAATGTACAACGCATAAGAAAATTGACCAGTCAGAGTTCTCATTTCTATTACCATGATGAAAATGAAGGACTCTGATTGGTTTATTTTCTCATGCGTTGTGCATTATGTCTTTATGAAAGAGTATGTGCTCCCCACTTTACGCAGGCTTTAGGAAGACCCGTCCCCAAAGTTTGTATTTTTTTTTGCAGGCCAGAGCAAGACAGTGACACAGAATATGCACACTGTTCTTTCCTCAGTAGCCATACAATCGGCACGAATCATTTTCTACGATTCTCAATTTAAGCAAGTGGATTTTTAGGGTCGCATGTCCTGTCAAAAGTCCAATTGCAGCCCCCAACCTTATCTTTCCCATTGATAACAGTTAACTGAATGTTTGAATCTATTAAAATTGTTATTGTACTTATAAAAATAAGCAAAAAAGCAATAAAGACATTTGAAAAAATAATGGTATAATCTATCACAACTCTGCACCTCTATACACTCTCCAGTCCGACAATGATATTAACCTTGAGAAATTAATTTATGGATCTTAGGTACTTTTGAACGTTGCCAACGCTATCCCCTCTTTTTTATGGATTTTGTCCGCTTACCAAAATAATCGATGCATCGAGAATCGATTTTCTTTTGACGATGCATCGATTTTTTTAATTGATAGAAAAAAAATCGATTCTTGAGAATCGATTCAGAAGAATCGACATCTCTCAGGCCTAGTGTGAGCCTGTCAGCTAGGCTGACACAGTTATTTTGACTTTAGACTTTCTGCGGTGAGATAGCAAAGCCTTAAACAATTGATATCTCAGAAAGAAAAACCGACCGCTGAAAATTTGTATTTTGGGTTGTGATAATTTCAGATCTCAGAATTAACTGCACTAATTTTTTTCAGATTGATCGCAATTGAAAGCTTATATTAACGTTTCTGTCAGAAATGCAATTAGATTTTTTTCTTGGTAACGTCGTATATCATGAACATAGTCACATCTCGGTCTCGGTCTGTCATTCTCGGATCTGGTATTCTCGGATTCGTCTTATGTACTAGGCGTCGCGACGCTATCGCGTCGCTTAAGGAGATGCTGGACGTTGAGAGATGTCGATTCTTCTGAATCGATTTTTTTTCCATCAATTAAAAAAATCGATGCATCGTCAAAAAAAAATCGATTCTCGATGCATCGATTATTTTGGTAAGCGGACAAAATCCATAAAAAAGAGGAGATACGTTCAAAAGTTCCTAAGATCCATAAATTAATTTCTCAAGGTTAATATCATTGTCGGACGGGAGAGTGTATAGAGATGCAGAGTTGTGATAGGTTATACCATTATTTTTTCAAATGTCTTTATTGCTTTTTTGCTTATTTTTATAAGTACAATAACAATTTTAATAGATTCAAACATTCTAGATGACGAACTCGAATGTCGATAATGCAGTCGATCGTCACTAACATAATCACGCTATCCT